CCATTTCACGGGAGCAGCTCATGTTCCCATCCCAGTGTCACATCACACCGAAAAGAAAACGCACATTCAGCAGGAAAATATCTTTCCCTAGATAAGGCTGGGGGAAGTTTTCCTAAATACCATAAAGATTCCACATCATGAGGTGAACAACCATGTTGTCAGAAGTGCAAGGCAGGCTCACGGGCTCTTCATAGCAACACAACAGTGAGCAGCCAAAGCCTCACTAAAGGCTTTTTCGCCATAAATGCTCGTGACCTAACAGCACACAGATAAAGCTCCTGCTGAACCATCCCCTCTCAGCTCACACCACTCAGCTCCTCTGACAAAGACCCTGTGTCATTGCAAGCCACATTGCTGGAGAAGAGGGCGGGGTGAAAGAAGAGAAGGGAGGCACATAGGGAGAAAAAAAAAAATGCAGTCTACAAAATAGATGCAACCTACAATCGGTGACATTCAGTCCTTCACCGGCTTCTCATGAGATAAAGCAGCCGTACCCTCTGCCTGCAGCCACAACCACCAGCAGCTTTGAGAAGGTAAAAAAAGCTGGAATGAATCTCAGCAGCCCTCCTGGCTCTCTAATAATGATCCCTGTCAACAGCCTAAATAAAGCACCCACACCCCCCCAGTACCCTGAGTATCTCACTGTAAGGCTGATTAATTACAAACCAGCTGAAAGTAACAGCAAAAAGGTACAAAACCATGAATAAAAAAGAAGTGGGCCAAAGGCCACACTGGAATACATGACTGTGGGTTCGGGTTTCCTAACCCTGCTGATTCAAAACAAGGAGGTAGCACCAACACTTCACCCTCCATCTTCATCATCACCTCACCACCCTCCTGCCCGGCTCCACTTTCATCGTTATTTGAAATAAATTAAGATTGACTTAAAGCAAGCAGACTGCCTCAATACCACTCGGCCCCACAGCCCAGAGCTTTCACCCTGCATCCGCATCCACCATTCTCCATCCCGGTCCCACCATCCTCCCCTAGTCATCCTCCCGGCGCCCTCCCCCGCCCCACAGCACCATCCTCCTGGCCTCAGGCCCCCACTGCCACCCTCCTCACTCCCCCGAGAGCATCCTCCTCACCGCTGCCGCGACCCTATGCCCCGTCCCTCTCCTCAGCGCGGGGGGCCGCGGGCCCGGCTCACCTCCAGCTCGGTGTCGCCGGGCTCGGCCACCCCAATGATCTCGCTGGGCAGCTCGGCCAGGTCGGTGACCCGGATCAGCCCGTCGTGCAGGAAGATGGTCTCCTCCTTCACCGACAGCCACTGGGCCGAGTCGGTGGCCGCTGCCGCCGAGGCGCCCGCCGGAGACCCCATGGCGCGGACGGCGGGGGGGCTCCACAGGGCTGAGGCGAGGGGGGTGCCGCTACCCTCCCATGGCGGGGGCAGGGCGGGGGCAGGCGGGTCCCCAGCGGCCTGGGTGCCGGACAGCCGGAGCGCGGTGGGGAGCAGCGAGGAGCGGCGCGTTGCCACCGCGGCACCGGCGGAACGGGGAGCTCCGGGAGCCGCCGTGCCCGCCCGCAGCCACCACGTCCCGCTCCCTCCTCACACACACAGGTGACAGCGCGACGCCATGTTGGGGGCTGAGGCGGGCCCGGCATGCACCGCGCGACGAACAATACACCCTCCCCCCTCCCGGCCCCGCGGGGCTCCGCCTCCCGCCGGGCCCGTCCCCCGGCGCCCCTCGGTGCCGCCCCCCGGTGCTCCGCCTCTCGTCCCGCTCGTTCGCACCTTGGCGCCCGCCTCCGCGCTTCACCTGAACCTCTCCGGTGCCGCCCTCCCCAGCGCCTCGTCCCGCACCTTGGGCGCTCCCCTCAGCGCCTCATCTCAACCCCTCTGCGGGCCCCCTCCCTCAGGGAATGGCGGCTCCCCTCAGCGCCTCACCTCAACCCCTCTGCGGCCCCCCCCCCCCAGGGAATGGCGGCTCCCCTCAGCGCCTCACCTCCCTGCACCCAAAGGCCGCTTCTCTCAAGCGGCGCACCTCGACGTGTGGCTGTTCCCATCAGTTTCCCTCTTCAGCATCAACTTGGACAGCCAGGGTCCCACTGAAGCTACCCTGTTCCCTCAAGGACTGATCCCTCTTGGTGCCTCATGCTCCTCACAGGGTAGTTTGTCCTCTCCTGACACCTTTGGTCACCCTCCATTTTGACTGCCCTCCTCTCTTTCCAGAACGTCCTTTCTTTCCTTCCCTCGTCTGTCCTTCCATCACCTCCTCGAAGGAATCCTGTCACCTCTCCAGGGGCCTTTTCCCAAAGGACTTGTGAGCAAGCAGGTACGTCCCTTAAAATCCATACATTATCTATGTAATGAGGATCCCAGAGGGTGTGAAGCAAAAGGTTCCCTTCACCACAGGATGTGTGGAAAAAAAGGAGATCTAAGCTAAAATAGACCCTTCTTTCTCCAAGCCTCTCTTTTGGGCATCATGATGTGCCCTTCCCCATTTCCCACCAGTCTGATTTCACACCCGGTTGCCTCCAGCCCGGGTTCAGAGCAGCACCGAGTGCCACAGGCAGCTGGCCCGCAGTGCTCAGCAGAGCACGCACTTGTGAGACAAAGCGTGTTAATGAGAAGGACATGAGGAGAAATGTCACATATTTTTAGTGTGCAACTGCTTTGGGGATTCCCATTGCAAGCGGCTGCTTTTCATGACTCTGCACAACCGAATGGGGATGGAGTGCTGCGTTTATTTGTTTGAGCAGATTAAATGATTTACTCTATTGGTGCATTGCAACCAACGTGCTGTGGTAGTGGAGGAAAAGTGTATTCAAAGCTGTAGCAAAATGAGATCTACAGCCAGTGCTTTCCATCCTATTAAATCCGGTTGGGAAGAAGCATCTTTTCCATGTAACAGACCATCGCTCAACTTATGACCCACATAAAGTATCTTTATAGCACTGATTCAGCTGTGTGAGCATTCACACAGTTGTGTAGTTTTACCTCTGAGGCTGGTTCAGACAACATCAGATTCAGGTAAATTCATATGAGTGGTTGGTTGTGGGTCTGTGTGGTAGCTCAATACACTGTGTTTGGTAGGATATCACCGCTATTCATGTATGGGAGAGCAGAAGAGTCTCCTGGCTTGCTTTTATTGTAGAAATAGATATTATTTGTGCTAGAGAGTGTGATTTTGAGCAGGGAGAGTACAGAGGCTTGATATTAAAGGTTTCTGTAAGGCAGAGACCATAGATGGGCATCTGTTGTTTTTGGTGAGGACATGACACAGACAACAGTGGCTACAGATGGACATATCCATAGATACAAAATCCACCCTGAACCTCCTGCAGGAGCCCAGCTATTGCTCCAAGGTGATGGCAGGTGGGACATGTCAGCTGAGTTCCTGCAGTCGAGATAAGCTGTGCTAACAAGGCCTCCTTTGGAGAGGTGGGAAAGATGCTGAGGTTAGATTACTCATAGTATTTCATTGCAAGATAGTGACTGGTGTTACGAGAGTAGGAGTTTTACATTGTTTTAATTCTTCACATCAGACTGGAATTGAGGAAGAGAAACACAAAGTGTGTATACATTTTAGTGGGAGTAACACTTAAAACAACTTCTGTCTTCAAATTTTTTAGTACTGTCATGGTACTACTTGGGTATCTTCCACAAAATCAATACAAATAGCAGAGCTGGGGTTAAAATGGGATGTTCACTTCACAAGCACCACTCATGCCAGGAATGCTTGTCAACAGAAGGCATTTGCTGTGTTCTGTAGAGGTGGCTGTGTTCTGGAAGTAGCTGTTGTTCTCCAAAGGTCTGCCCCATAGGCTGGGTAACCCAGGATGAAAATTGTTTGTCTCCAGCCCTCACATGCTCTTTCCAAGGCCTTCTGGACTGCTTTATCCCAGAGGAATACGGTTGCCGGAGTAGCTCCCAGATGAAGAGTCAGGGTTTGATATAGCTGTCGATTTAATCCACTAATTGCTTTGAAATACAAACCAAGGCCTTGTATTAGAGTGAGGAGCTGACTCAGAGCTAAAACAGAAGGATGTGGAGCTGTGGGTACGTTCATACCAGGCTAAGCACAGAAAGATCTGCATGGCTAAATAATGTATTGTCCAGAGGCTGCTTTCATCATTGGACTGGGGTTGGTGGCCAGCTTCTCCCAGCGAGAATCCTGATACAAGTGTTTTTGTGTGGTAAGTAACCTGAGCAGCCCCTGAGTGCAAAGCAAGAGAACTGTGAACTGGAGATTGTGCCAATGTTTCAGAAATCCCTTTTAGCCATATTTGTGTGAAGACACCCCAGGCTGAACCAAGGGCGTATTTACCACTGTATAGTTATTTATTGGCTTATTTTGAGTTCTTCTAAATTGTATTGATTTGGCAATTCAAGTTAAAAATCAGGTATTGATGTAGTCTAATGCTGTAAACCTGATAAATGTGTCCTATCCTGCCTCAGGTAAATAAAATCATTACTAGTAAATGTAAGATTTCCTAAGTTATTTTAGGCGCTTGTGATTCAGGAATTACCAGCATTTTGTATAGTGCATGAGCTTCCATAGTATGGAATGCTGACATAGCTTTCTACATGAAATTTTCAATGGTAGGGCCCTGCAATGAATTCCGCAAATATAATGCACTTTGTCTGCATCTGCTGCAGAAGATGTTTTATAATATAATGGGAAAAAAATATTTTTGTTCTGCATGTCACCAGAAAATGTCAGTTGGAACTTCAGTGCAGCATTCAGAGGTACTGCAGTGACTACAAAGGAGTCTTGTACTATGTTATGGGGATGGTGTAACTTAAAAAAACAAACTAGAATAACTTTGTGACGCAAATCATCAAGCTGAAGACACAACCCCCTTAACTTTTAAATAAACTTGTACAGAAAACCAACCTTTTGCAGATGGGGCAGCTGCTGTGGTCATGTCTGCCTGTGGTGGCCAGGCTCTGGAATTAAGTTCTTGATGTGCAGGTCTGTTGACCTGCAGCGGAATGTGCCCTTGTGCTTCTCTGCCCATCACCGATACTGAGATTTAGCAGAAGATGCTCATGGTCCTGTGAGCTGAAAATGAAAATTCACTCTTTGTACTTTGAATTGACCATTTGCACTCACATAAATGGAACTTAAAGGAATATAGTCTCACCCTCCAGTTTAATTTTATACTAACAGCTGTAACATAGGGTGGAAATTGTTTTCATCCCAAGGCTTTGCTGTACATCCTTCTGTTAATTTAGAAATGGCAGTTTCACTTTTAATGGCCATTGTGGCATCAAGAAATGCGTGAAACAGAAGAAATGGTTGCTATTTTTATGTGGTCTGCAATAACTAGTTTTCCATACCCTGAATCCTGGCTTCTCTGCCCAGTACTTGCTATTTAGAGAGCCCAAATGGCATCATTAATAAGACCTCTAAGCAAGGAATAGTGGCATTTCATGGCACACTAACTGTGATTAAAAAATACAGTTTCTACATTTTTCTCTAAGTAAAACTTAGAAAGGACTGACGTGGAAAAAATGTGTATTTGACAGAAGGAAAAGAACAAATGACAGTGAAATAGAATAATTCCAAACTTCAGAAATGTATTTTAATTTTTAATGCTTCTAATTGCAAAGGAAAAATAGTCACATTTTTCTCATTTTGATATGTTAGCAATAATTGCTGAAGAAGACTGACTAATAGCAAGGTAGCCTTAAGGAAGGAAGAGCAAATAAAATGAAGTTTTTATTAACATGAATAAGGATCATTTTATTATAGGAAACAGGAGTCTGAATCACCTACCTGACAAAAACAGCCTTAGTTGAATTGGCCATGAAACAAATGTAAAATATAGAATCATAATAAAAGTGCTGGAATGTTTTCTTAGAGGCAGTCCAATCCTGTGTTGTGAGCCAAGCTATCACCACACTACTTGTGACACATGCTTGTCCTGTCTGGAGGCTCCACCTGCAATCTCTTCCATTGTTGAATTGTCATTATAGTTGGGGAGTTTCCTAATGCTCAATTAAACTTGTGTTGCTGTAATTTCAGCTTTTGTAGGCACAGAGAAGAGTTTATTTCCTTCCACCAATGCGCTGTCTTTTCCCATCTTCTGCACTAAATAATCCCTATCCTTTCCCACTTTCTCTAGGCCATGTCCTTTGGAAGTCTGATGATTATTCTGCTCTTTGGCATTTCTTCCAACTTTTCCACATCTCTCTTGAGCTGCTGGTACTTTAGATGAAGCCTTACTGGTGTGAAATGGTTTGGACAGATTCCTGTGTCTTCTGTGCAATACTCCTGTTAAGTGCCTTGGTATCATCTTTGCTTTGCAGCTGTAAGATATTGTTGACTCACACTGTGCTTGTAAATGAAATAACAACTTGGGCCTCAATTCTGTTTGTGGTATTTCACATGCAGAAACAAAGCAAGCTGGCATTTAGCATCACTCTTGCTAATCTCATGTCTCATTCTCCTACTCAAGAAATTAACACAAGTAGCCTTTTATGGAGGGAAGTATTTAAATGCTGCCCATCAGTGAGGAAGAGTGTTTAGGAGCTCAACAGATCCCTCAGTGGTTGTCCTGAATTTCTGAATTTCTAATGTCTCAGAAGACTCATTATTAATACCCAAAAATAGGTAGGTTTTAAATACAGCTGTTCTGTACTGTTTTAAAATTCTATCTCCCTGAAAACTGGTGCAATGAAATGAGGAAAAAAATAATGAAAAAAGTCTGCTACAACATCCTGCTCAGTGCTGTAAAAATCTAAATATAACAAGGTGGATTTATACGATTGATATGTATTATTACAAGGTCCACTTTATAAAGTGTTTCTCAGGGAGAATTTAAAAAAGAAGTGGCTTTTGAGTTTTTATTATCTTTGTCTTTTACTTGAAATTCGCAGATAAGTTCCTAGAGCCTGTGAAGTCTTAAGGAACAGGTTTTCACAGGCATTGTTGCACTAACTACCCTTTTTCCTGAGAAAAGGAAGCCAGGTCAGTAAATCCCTGGCCTTAGTAAATGCTATAGTCTATCCTGATTTTCTCTTCAACGGTGACAGGCTTTCAAAACAAACCTAAAACTGAAAGTCACTAATTGAGAACTGAAACCATGCAGCAAATTGGAAAGCCTTTTGCTCTGGGAGAAAATTTTGCTGTCTGTGTGGTGTGGTTTTGCAGCTGTAAGTGCCCACATCTCCAAAGGTGCTCTTCCAAGAGCACCTGCCTCCTCTTCCTTTCTATCTAGAAATATTTCTCCTGTTTTTCCAGTATCTCTTTCCCATAATTTCCAGACAATAATCTACTTTTTTTTTTTTTTACTCTTAAAAACAACTACAATAAAGGCACAGCAAGTGAACAACTTAATAGCATATAAATGTGAGTGAGACAAAAAAGGATATAGCTATTGTCTGTAAGAGATGTTGCTGATCTCTGTGAGAGGTGCATATTCCAGTGCTCACTGTGACTCACCTGTTTTTCCCTCTGTTCCTTACAGCCAGATGGCATGAAACAGTAAAGGCCAAATAATTCATCATTCTACAGACTTGCAATGGACTGGCCCCCAGAAAAATCCGGGATGGTTGAAAATCTTTTCATGTGCTGCAGGTAAGACAGTTTCTTCATTTGTAACATTGCAGAGTTGGGTTTCTAAATGTTGCAGTGAAATGTAAACTGCTAATAAAATCCTTGTCTTGACAGGTAAAAGTCACTATTTTCTGGAATTGTTTTATAAATTTTTACTTTATGCTTCACAACATAGCAGTGTTTCTTTAAAAAGAACACCATCACAAGCACCCTACAGCTAAACCATGAAGAACAGTTAATTGCCCTTCAACTAAAATAACTCCATGAGCAATTAATCGATGAAGAACTGAGAGTAGCACTATCTGTCAGTCATCCACAGCCAGCTGACTCTTTGGAGGCCAGCACTGCTGCCTTCATTGGATTATTGGGTCACAAATAGACCCAATAATCAGCCGAGCCATTCACATGCAACACAGCGACTACATGACACGTGTTGTGCTCATTCCTCCAGATTGTTGTCATATGGCTGTTGATTGTGCATGACAAACACATGAAAAAGCCATTTCTCAGGCTTGATGATCCAGTCTGCCCAGGCTTGGTTTGGTGGCCAGTTGAATGACATGAAAAGTTGCAGCCGGGGGTGACAGGATGGGAAGAATGATAGAAATTCTAATGAGTATTCTTACAAATCCCCAGGAGACAGCTCATGCTGGAGCACCCAGATCAGGTGCTTGTGAAATCACCTGTTATTTCATGAAAGCCCAATAGTTGTGATGTTATTTGTGTTATTTTAATTCTTTTGATTCAAGCTGATAACCAATTTGGAGGTTACTGAGTTGCTTGTGCTACATGATGGTGCTAGACATGGCCTTGATGAAGTCCTGTTTATTTATGAAGCATGAAAAAGTCTTCTTTCCTAGAATGTTGGGTTAAGTAAAGCTCAGACTTTGCACAGTGTTTTGACTAAGGCCAGTGTTTTAACAAAAATAACCAGCAAAAGTGCACTCTCAAAGTTTCCTCTTGCATCAGCAGACACAAAAAGCCATTTTCCTTTCTCCCTCTGTCCCTGACATGTGCACGTGTTTGGGTTTTATCTCACACAGACACAAAGCTCCAGGTTTCAAATGCCCTTTTTGCACTTTCAGCGTAAGCCTCAAGGGAAGCCATGCGAATAATGTGCAATGTACAGAAGCTTTGCTATGTGCCTGTCATTGTTTCAGCTCTCTGATTCTAGAGAGGTATTTGTTAGTCTTTTTGGGCTTATTTTAAGGAACAGTTATGGTTACCCACCAATTTCTGTGAATTTCCATGAAACAGATCTTCATTCCAGCTTAGCAGGACATTCACACCAGTAATTTGAATACTGGTTTTACCTAAATGTCTCCAGTAACACATGTTGAGGGTGCATCATTCTTTTTAGGGTCTTTGTATTTACTTGTTCTGAAAACCAGCCTTCCTCCCTGGTGTATCGAGCACATATGCTTGCTGCCTGGACTAGTTTTGTACATTTTATCTTTGTATTTATTTCCTTGTGTGAAAATGGGCATTTTGAACAATAGGATACCATATGTGGCACATGGTGAGATCTGAAAGCCTTAATTTTAAAACCAATTACATCCTAAATGCATCTGTCAAGTGAATGGAAAACCTCTACATCAAGTAGGGCTGACAAAAGAGATGAAGATGTAATTGCTTCTGGTTTAGTCTATTTTCTTCAGGAGGTTTAAAGCCTTTCCTGGTGGTCCTTGGGTGGTTCCCTGCATCCCACTGACTTGCTCCAATGGACTGAATAAATCATTTTATCTTTGGGCACAGATAATGGCAGTTTTTACCTCCACTGGGTGTCAAGAGGCTAATGTGCACAGTGTATATCAACTACAAGAATTTGCTTATTATGGTCATTGCAGGCAAAATGCTGGGAGCTGCTAATTGGACAAAATGGAGAAACACAGGGTGTCACCATTCTAAAGACTAAATCTTTTAGCTGTGCTGTCCTGTACAAATCTAATGGACTAAGTTCTGCAAAAAACATGACATTACAATTGATACGTGGGGCTGTGAAAACATTCGTTCCTCATGTACCTGGGCCAGTCTTCAACACACTGTTTTTATTTTTTAGTATTAAATGTTGATATCATTTCAGTAGGGGAAGATGGCAGTAATGGAGCAGGTTTCCTCCTCAGTGTCATCCAAGCACAGACTTTTTATTCTTTGATGTACTTCAGAGCATTGTTGTAAGTTGCATGTCTGCAGAAGTTTAAAACTCTTCTTGAGACAGGATCTGAGCAAGTATTTCTGCTGTTCTGCAGGAATGTGAACACTGACCTCATTGAAATGAAGTTATTTGCTCAGGATCACATGAGAAAGAAAAACTAATTTCTTTAATGTCAAGTAATATTCTGACTCCCACACTTCTCTCTCCTTAGCATTGTTAGCACTAGTAAGTGTTTATTCTGGTATACTGTGAAGTATGGGTAGGTCATAGTTGCTGGCTGTGTGTACAATCTATCATGCAAAGTCATTTCCACTGAGAAAAATAAACATTGAAATAATGGGGGGAAAACCAGGATAAAATGAGCCCCAAAAGGCTGTCAGCTACAAAAATGGGGTTTAACTCTTTATCTGTGAGAGGGTCAAAACTGGTCTGATCTGTAAAACCCCCGAACAATAAAGAAGCAATGAAAAAGCAGTTAAACAAGTAAGAATTGTCCTGGCTGGCTGTTGGCAGGAGTGTTATGCACAGAGAACCATCACAGCCCAGCCCTCCTGTGTGACTCAGTGTGAAGGCTGTCTGCAGCCGGTGGGACTGGCTCCCTCTGCTCAATCAGTGGCTTCCTGAACAATGTGGGGAAAAAATAATGAGAACTATGATGAATAATATCCTTATAAAAATACGAATTTAATTGCTCTAATTGCTTAAACAATGAGTTGTCAAGTGCTTAGTGCAGACTGTAATGCAGGAGAACTGGAGAAGTCAAATTAACAGGTTAATAGTTCCCCTTTGCTTGCATCCTCACATCCCACACTGGGAGCTTCAGATGCTGTCTCCAAACCAGAATAGGAGCAGGAGCTTCTCACAGGATTATGTCATTTATGTGGCTTGCTGCATCAGGACAATAATGGTGGGAGAAAGCGTAATGGGGTTTACATGACTCCCCTGTGCAATTTTAGATCTCTTAGACCAAGCTGCTCATGTGTCCATCCTGTAATAGAGTAATAGCTGATAAAATCATAGGAACCACTAATATTTGTACATTGGTGTTATTTGCTTAATCCCCTAAACAGCAAATGGGAACATTCTCTATAACCCAGCACTGGGAAGTACTTTGTCTTTCAAACATGCCTCAATTTCTCCTAAGGATCCTAATCTCAGAAGCAAAGCTATCGTCTGCCTTCCCGGGACCACCAACCAATGCATCTGCAGGGATGGACACAGCCCCTCTGGGCAGGCCTGAATCCACAGGTCATGTCACAGAGGAAGCTAATAGGTAAAAATAGGTGTCTGTAGATAATAAGGCATTGCATCTCATTACCAATTCCCTGAGAAAGCCAACATCCCTCTATCATTCCTCTCAAAAGGATGCTTTCTTATAATTACATATCACTTTATTAGGCAGCTGAAGGAAAGAGCACGTTTGATGCTAATGAAGTGCTGCTGTGGTTGAGTCTGTCACTATTTTTGGAGCCACACATCTCCAGCACTTTTGATTGGGTGAGGGAGGCTTTGGATGTCTCCAGCTTCTGCTGTGGGGGCTGCACAGGGAAAAGCAATGACTCAGCGAGCCAGGACTGCAGAGCTGGTTACATGCTCAGAATGAGAAACACCGCGGGACAGCGAGAACACACACAAAAGCTCTTTATGTGGTGGAAGGATTTTTCAGGTAGTGGATAGCATTATCTAGATCAAACAATCCTTCTAAATATTCACTTTGTGTCAGTTATCTGCACAGGCCTTGTTTTTCCGCTTATTAGCTCAGAGCATTTCAGAAAAAAAGCCAAGATTTCACAGAACTCTAGGGAAATATTTGCAAGGTTAGGAGTGAGATAAGTCACAGCTGTCCACCAGCACCAATCCTGACACAGACAAGGGCTTTGCTGGCTCCATTTTCTGCAGCAGAGCTGAAGAGCTGCTCAGGATCATGAAGGCATCATTTAGTGTTAAAATCTGACTTAAGAGCAAGTACCCCTTGGAGCAGGCCTGCTCCCACCCCCATTTGTGCCAACACCAGCATTCAGGTGGTCCCACAGTGACTCAGTTCAGAATCCAAACAAGAATATTCATTCCTTCCTCTCTCTCCCCACCTCACCGGGTTGTTACTGGTCACCACTAGTCAACCAAGGTCAGGACAGGGGCAAGGGAGGCACAGGCAGCACCTGAGACCCTTTCTGCACACCAGGACCTGTTAAGACAACTAAATTACATTACCTCATCACTTCCTGACAGCACTCTGGCAGCCAGAGCCTTCCCTTCTGTAACCAAGGTTAATGGTTCCAAGTATCATGTCATGTCTTCTGATACACAAATGAGGAATGTGTCAGAGTAATCAATAATTATAGCAAATACCACTGTATCTAAATGCCTTGTTACTCTTAGACTGCCCCACAGGGCTGTGTTGTTACTACAACCTCCCTGTTCCTGGAGAAGGGATGACTGAAGCACTAGCACCTCTTACCTGTTCTCTTAAGACTGCAACTGTGTGACCCCAGCTTGGTTTGCTACAATTTAGATCAAGATGCTTACTTGCCTGTTTTGGACTTCTCTTAAGTGTTTCCATATACAACTTCTACTAAAGTGAGCTTTCTAAGCATATTGGGTTAAGATCTTTCTTTGGTATAATCAGTAAATGTATCTTGGTCCTGGCAGCGAGGTGCACACAACACTTGTGTATCTTCTTAAGAGCTGATTTATGTAAACAGGCAGTCCCACCACTGCAGTAAAAGCTGATGTCAACTAAAGACACCTCTGACTATAACATTATCCATATTCAGCACACAATGTGTCTCATCACAGTCATAGTTCCAGTGACAAGGAAGAAAGAACACTCTCCTGGAGAAAATATCTCACAGAGAGCCACAGGACACTTGCATCCAGCCCACAGGCCCAGAGCACTGCGCCAAGCAGAGCTTGCTCCCTGGCTCCCTCTGCTGAACCCCACTAACATTTAATGTTACCAAGAGGAAGATGGTGGAAGAGTGACCAGTGTTGAACACTTCTGTAGTCTGCACTGCCAGCCAGCATCACCTCTGAAGATGACTGTAGCCCCTTGGTGCAGAAATCCACTGAGCTCAGTATTCTGCAGGGATAGGAGATTCTTCAGCAGCTCTGGATCACTTCAGTTCTGGTTCCTCCTCTCCACCCAGTGTGGCTGGTTTATGACATCGAGACACCCACCTCAGCAAGGTTCTATTACTCCCTTTTCTTGAAGCTGGCATGAATTTGATGAAATCTTTACTCCCTGTCAAGTCTGACCCCACTGGCTACTTTCAGCTAAAAATTAATAGGAAGACAGATGGTGCCATTACATAAGCCTCGGTTCCTGTCTAAGTCTGGCTGAGGAAGAGCCTGAGTGTGCCAGGTTTGTTAGTCTGTACATCCTCAGTCCTTCTAAGAGAGAGCTACTGCTGCCCCAGTATCTGGTAACTGACCTCAACAGATAAGGAAACCAGACAGGACCTTCTCATCTCACTTTCTGCCAGGTTTTGAGGTAGAAAAATTGTTGAGACTCTGTAAACAGTTACCCAGGTAGGAAAATACCTTCACAGAAACAACTGCTGGAGTTTAACTCATTTCTGAACCTATGGAATAGGGAATGATGCTTTTACTTTTCAATCACAGCAGATAGTGTTTTTCCTGACTGTAAGTGCTACATCCCACATGGATAAAAAAAATAGGAAATAAAGATTGGATCTGGGAAGGGACATGCATCAATTTTGTTTTGGTTCTGGGGATAAGTTACTCTGCATGGAGTATTCCCAGTGTTTCCACTTTAAACTGCAAGGCCTAGCTCTAAGAAGTTGCTATATTTCCTGAGCTTTATGTAGTGATTGATGGATCAAAGCTGTTCCTCCCAACCCCGCTGTACACCCCCCTTTAGGATGCTCAGGAGTTACCACCTAGCAGTGGTTTGTTACAGAGATCTGGTTCTTCACAAGATACCCAAAGCACTGGTTTTGGCACAGAAAGGGTGCAGAGAAACCCACCAGCACAGACACTGGGCTAGATTTTATTCTACAATGGGATGGGGGTCAAACCAGTATTTATATCCACTATCCAAGACAAAATCTATTGTTTTTCCTTTGCCCATTTCTACCTTCCCAGTTCATTCAGTTTAGAAAGCTGAATTCCTGTTTCTACTAAATAGTTTTAAATAGCCCCAACAACTACAAACCAAAACCAACCAACCAAAACCTTCACCACTGCAAATTCTAGTATACTCCATCTAGCCCCTCAGAATTCTACACCACAAGCAGTTTTCCTACCCATTAAACATGCATTGCAGGACCTGTGCAACACATTCTATCACAGATTGCAATGAAGACAGCAGAGATCCTGGTTTTTCCTTCGAATTTAATGTGGTGCTTTCAGGACAGTTAGAACACCAATTTGTGAGGATAGACTCCATTGGAGAGACAGAATGTAGAACGCAGGTACCCACGGAGCTGAGGCACCTTCTTGATTCGCGCCAGGATCTGGGAATCCACCGCCTTCTGGTCCAACTTGCGCTGTTCTGTTATCTCGTATTTCTAGGAAGTACAAAGAACAAGGTTAAAATCCTGCAGACCCTTCCAAGGAAGGAGAAAATTCAGGGCAAATCCCCAGTTCTGGCATTTTCGAGGAACCTGGTCTCCATTTGTTCTAAATAAGGCAGTAGGAGACCGGAGGTGGCAGGGAGAACTGCAGCCACTCTCTGGCTCACACTGCTGATATTGGAGCCAACAACACACTGCTCACAAACAGTGAAGTTGTTTCTCAGTCAGGAAAGATCTTTACCTGGAGTTACCACTGCTGCTGGTCTGCTCAGGTACACGCAGGAAAGAATCTCCAAGTTTAAAAAGGGTTTACCTCAATGCTGCCAGATTAATTCATTTTAATGGCATTATCCCACTTACTGAGGGCCACATAAAACCCACTATGGGTTTAATGGGATTTTCCCCTTCCAGCCTGCCTTTATGTAACAAGGGTACTTGGAAAGAAAAAACAATCATGGTCCTTACTTCCTTCTCGGTGTCAAAGATCTCGCCTTCCTGGTGCTTGGGCTTCCGCAGCCTCTTCTTCTTGAAGTATGCATCAGTGAGATGCTTGGGAATTTTCACTCCAGAGATATCCACCTTTGTAGATGTAGCAATAACAAATTTCTGATGGGCCCTACGCAGAGGGACACGATTGACAACCAAGGGTCCTAAAGCAAAGGAACAACAGCAGAGAGACCAAGGTCAGCTTTCCTGGCAACAGCCACTGCTTCTATGCTGAATTTCATGACTGGTTTCTTCAGAGATGCCTACAGCTAGTATCAATCAACAAAGCCCATCCCCACAGCCTCTGGAGAAGTGGGAAAACTTCCTGATCTCTTCCAGAAGCTTCATTATCTGCTCTCCACCCCCTGGAAGGTCACAAAACATCATTCCACAGTTAAGCGAACACATGATAAGCCAGACAACCTGCATGCTACTGACGCAAGAGACAAACTGGAGCTTTTAACAACCTAACGCCCCAAAAACCCCAAATGCACAAAAGTCCCCCCAGAAAAACTCATCATCACACTCATATGTCTTTTTTTTACCTGTAACAAGCAAAAGGCCAGTATCAAGCTGCTTCAAGAAGACGACACGCTGCAAAGAGAAGAGATGCAACATCAGGCCCCAGCTCTGAAGTACTGCAGCCAAATGGGGACTGTGCCCACACCCGGCCCTGTCACTAGTACAAGCATCAACAGAGATGCAACCACTGCGCAGGCTGAGCTATCAACACTTCCCAGAGCACAGTGGTGCCACAGGTACTTCATCTACAACAGATCCTGACTCTTCACCATCTTCATCAGTCAATGCTGAGCAAAGCCAGTTACTTGGCCTACTCTGCAGGACACCAGACATCTCACAGCCCAATCCCTGGTACAAATTAAAAGCCAGGCACTAGGTAAAAGCCAGAAGGGCACCACAACATATACCATGGTCAGTGCCATCCCTCAGCTGCATTTTATTCTTTCTGGTCAAGTCTGCAATCTCCAAACAGCATTCTTTTCAGTAACAGGACATCAAAGCCAAAGAATTTCAGAAAATAAAGGATGCCAGTTTATGGTGCCATGAACCTGCATGCTTCTCTGCTGCAGCACAACTTCTGTCATTTGTCTAATCCACTGACTTAGCCTGTTTTACTTCTAGCTCTGTGTGGAACACCATCAGTTTAACAACAGTCTCCCCTAAAGGCAGGATGAGAAAAAGCATCTAGACAGAATTCATGACAGATCTGCAGGTCCGTATCTAGTGGCTGTGCAGCATCCCATGAAATCAGCTGGTGAATTCAGGATGCCTTTGCTCAGCCAGAACGGGTTCAGCACAGAAATGATGCTAAAGCCACTGAGCAGGATGAAGCTCCAGCTTACCTTGCCTCTGTGACGACCAGTCAGCAGGATCAGAACAGTCCCTGGAGTGATGGAGGCCCTCAGCCGCCTCTTGTGCTGGCTGAAGGGCTTCTTGCCATGACTCAAAAGCTTGCGAGGAACATCCTCAGTGGGATAGTACCTGGGCTGGGGAGAGGAACAAAGTGTTGTACCACCCTGCATGCCATAGGACAGAAAGTTTTTGGAGCAGTTTAGATTACTCCTAAGAGGCAGAATTCCTTTTGGAAAGGTTTTTTTCTGCTGTAGCTGGCAATTCAGGAACACACACTGAATATTTTCTGTACAATTACGCAACAGTGAAATGGAATCATATCATAGAATCACAGCATGCTTTAGGTTGGAAGTGACCTTAAAGCTCATCCAGTTCCAAACTCCTGCCACGGGCAGGGACACCTTCCATTGGAGCAGCTTGCTCCAAGCCCGTGTCCAACCAGGCCTTGAACACTGGGGCAGCCACAGCTTCTCTGGGCACCCTGTGCCAGCGCCTCAGCACCCTCACAGGGAAGAGCTTCTGCCTAAGAGCTCAGCTCAGTCTCCCCTCTGGCAGGTTAAAGCCATTCCCTTGGCCTGTCCCTACAGGCCCCTGTCCAAAGCCCCTCTCCGGGTTTCTTGTAGCCCCTTTAGGCACTGGAGCTGCTCTAAGGTCTCCCCTTAAGGAGCCTTCTCTTCTCCCGGCTGAACCAGCCCAGCTCTCTCAACTCTCTCCAGAGCAGAGCTGCTCCAGCCGTCACAGCATCTCTGTGGCCTCCCCAGACTCTGTACATGTGTCCAGTCCAGCACAGCAACACAAATGGCAAAGGACTCACTCCTGCCTACCAACCATCCTCCAAACTCCCCTACACTGTCCCAGCCCAGAGCTGCATCACACCAAAACCACACAGGACAGTGCTGTCCCAGGAGCTTTTCCTTACCAGTTTGCGGATTTTCACCACGCGGCTGCCTCCGTTCTTATCCCCCCCCACTGGCTTGGTGATGGTCGTGCGGGGCCTCTTTCTCTTTTTCCTTTCTATCTGTAGGTGAAGAAAAGGGAAAATGTGACATTTCAAACCAAAACCACCCTGAAGAACCTGACAGTTTACATACAGTGTTTATCGTCCTACCCTTGTTACTGGAGCAGTGTACTTGCGCTTGTACAGTGCTTTCCTGGCATACATAGCTGACCGGGAATACCTCCCGATGCCCCGGGCCAGGACAGGGTTCCGGCTGGCATGATGCTTCTTGACCTTCTTCTTCTTCTCTCCTCCTTCCTTCTGGATTGGTTTCTGCTCCAGTGGCTTCTTCTCACCCGGCTTCTTCTTGGCCGGCTTTTTCTCGCCTGGCTTTTTCTCAGCGGCCGCCTTCTCACCCGCCATCTGTGGATCCAAATCAAACCCAAACTGGGACTTGTCACAGGGTGTGCAGAAACAGAATAAACGAATTTAACTCAATCCTCTGCACGGCTCTGGCAGCCAGCAGCCACTCACAGCCGTGTTGGTCAGGACAAAACCCGTTCTGCTTGCATCCATAACGCAAAGCGCTCCTCCACACTAGTTACAGCGGATCCATGTTCACAGAATGCAACTCATTAAGGAGCCCGTGGAAGCATCCGCCGCGCTGGGGCACAACCACCCGGGGCTCAGGACCCCCGGCCGCGCTGGAGCTGCCGGGCCCCGCCGGCCTTCCCCGGGCAGGTAACTGCCGAGGGCCCCAGCTCCCAAGTCTCGCCTGGGCCCCGCCGACTCCCCAGACGGCTCCGGCCCAGCGCGGCCTCCGCTGCCACCGGCGGCTGGGCCTATCTGCAGTCGGCTTAAACTCCCGGTCCACCCCGACCCCATATCGGTCCCCGAGCTTCACTGCCGCCCTCCCGAGGGCGCCGGGCCGGGCCCGCGAGCCCTGTGCAGCCGCTCGAGAGCAGATGGCGACGGATAACACCCGCCGGGTCCCAACCCTGACCGCCGCAGCTCCGCCATCCTTACCTTCCGGGGAGGGAAAGGGGCCTATATCCGGGTACGAGTGGCCTAAAGAGAGCGCTGCGTCTGACGTCACCGCGCCGGCCGCGAAGCACTCTGGGACTTGTAGTTCCTGCAGGTGCTGGCAGCCGGGACAGCCCCGGTTCACCGGAGCCCCCGCCGCGCTCCGACGGGGCCGTGCAGCGGGACAGGGGCTTCAGGGCTGGCGGCCCTACTGCCTCTAGCTCCGGGCGAGGTCCAGATAAAGCTCCGCGTCAACCCCTGCCCTGCCCGGTTACACAGGTTACGCTACTCCTGTGGCCGGTACCGCCGAGACCCTCTCCAGCTCACCGGACCGGACCGCACCGGGCCGAGGGAGGGGCCCGGCACCTCCCGCCCCGCCCGTTTTGACGCGAGGGGCGGAGCGTGGTCGCAGACCGATGACGTTACGGGCGGGTGACGCAGGGCGGGCCGCGCCGCGCGCCTCCGGGGCCTGAGGCGGCCGTTGTTCACGTTCCCTGCAGGGCGCCCGTAGGCCGCGGCCCGCGCCGGGGACCGGAACCCCCATGTGAGAGGTGGCCGGTGAGGCGGGGGCGGCCGGGGGACCCGCCGCTGCCACCGGAGACAATGACATCGCGGAGGTGAGGCGGGAGCGAGCGGCGCCGGAACCGGCCGAGGGTAGGGGGGGGCGGGCAGGGGCTGACTGCCCCCGGGGTGTGTGGGGACCGGGCTCCTCCTCGCTCCCCCCCGAGGGGCCTCTGGGCCGGGCCTTTACCGCGCTGGGCCAGGCAGGGCCTCCCGCGCCCTGGGGCTGCGGTGCGGGGGCAGCCGCCACCTCGCTCCCCGTAACCGCGTCCCTGCCCCGCACCCGCGGCGCGGTGTCTCCGCTGCCTCCGCCCGGCTCAGCCCGGGGCCTGGCTCGCTCCGTTCCTGAGCAGCGCGGCTCGATGGAGGGTGCCTCGCCGGGGTGGTTGCGGGCCTGGCGGGGTAGGGGGACCGGATGGCTTTGGGCTCCGCCGACCCAATAACGTTGGTTCCTGGCGGGGTTCAGGCCGGGCTCATTGCGCCCGCGTGTGCGCTTGAACCGGAGCCCGGAGGTGAGTTTTATCCAGCGGCAGCCCACCCGGCTCGCAGCCCCCCCTCCGGAGCCGGGCCGAGGCGCTGTGCTCCCCCCAGCCCGGGTGACATGAAGCTAAACCGTGAGCAAGCTTTGCAGTGAGTGTTTGTGAGCTGACCTGAGCCAGGTGCTTGATTCAGCAGCAGCCTTTGGTCCAGCTCAAGAACCTTGTGGTGCTGCAAAGTCTGGGTGGTAAAGAGTTGAATCTGCTTCTTTGTTTTGGGTTCTCCTTGTCCTTAACACCTTCTGATTGTTTGTGTGGTGTCAGCAGTGCTTTTTGAGCTGAAAGGTTAAGGTAAATGTTAGGCTTAAGAGGAAATGGTGTCACAGAAAGGAAGAAAATGTTTATATTCTCATTTAACATACCAGTCAGAAACTTCATAGAACCATAGAATGGTTTGTATTGAAGGGACCTTAAAGCTCCTCCAGCTCCAACCCCTGCCACAGGCAGAGACCCCTTCCACTGGAGCAGCTTGCTCCAAGCCCCTGTGTCCAACCTGGCCTTGAGCACTGCCAGGGATGGGGCAGCCACGGCTTCTCTGGGCACCCTGTGCCAGCGCCTCAGCACCCACATTTGATGCATCTCTTTAATATGTATTCAAGCAGAACTTCTTTGACATTGGATTGTCCTTATTCTTGTTCTGCTTATGATGGTGATGCTGTCTGGGTTCGTTTTTAGTCTGTGGCCGTTTATAGTTTAGCTGAATTTGGGGTCTCCTGAAGCGTGTGGAGAATGTGTTGGATCTTCACATATGGGAGCAAGCTGGACATTACCTTTTGGAAACAGTCGTGACATCCTCGTTGTTGGGAGTTATCCTCATATTCTGCTCCAAGCTTTAGATTGTATCTTGTGAGGGAGGCTGCAAGAGATGAGAAATAGAAATTGATGAGCCTATAAATAGAGGTAATTAAACTACCAGTCACCGCCTCCCTTTATGCTATGGTTGTGACAGCTGAGACTCAGAACTGGTTTAATCTGAGGCTCAGAACTGATTTAATGTCTACTGCTCTTGAAAGGTGGTTAGGAAAGCCCAAGTGCAGCATGGAAAAATGTATTGATTTTGGCTTTTCTCTTTTTGGTTTGGGAAGAGAGAAATGCTGGCTATGTGTGACTTATAAACGCAGATCCTCATCTTTCCTGGTCTGTGCTACCCAAACAGAGGTCATTGTAGCACACCTCTGTTTCCTACCAGGTATTAACTTTCATCCAAAGGTTTCTTGCTTTGCTGATATCCGTTTCATTTTGTAAATGAGAGCCCTGCTATGTCGCTGCTTGCTTTTCTGCCAGCCTTTTCATCTTACCCTTCCAAGTCCCTGATTAGTTTACAGTAAGCTGCTGACCTCCCAAAACCAGAATATTCCTCACATAGTGAGGACAGTCAGTTGAATCAGAGCGTGGGCTTGTGTCTGCCTTGTGTTACTTTCTTCATTATCTTTATTGGCTGCGATGCCCTTTGCTTGGGACACCCTCTGCACCTGCTCACAACAGAGAGGGCAGAAGGAAAGGAGGAAAAAGAAGCCTAAAATGCATTCCATCCCTATAAAAGGAAGCAGAAGCAAAAGTCCTCCCTGGGGTTATGTTACGTGTGTCTGTGCCTGCAGTCCCTGTGCTCTGTGCTCCGGTTTTGGAAGAGATGGAGGCCCCGAGGTTCAAACGAGCACTTGTGGTGGCAGCACTTCAAATGGAGGGATGTTCATCACCAGGCCGGAACCATTTCACAGAGATCACCAACACCCCCATTTTTCTATTTGGGGTGCCTGACAAATGCATCTTCCTACTCAAAGCCAAAAATACAGAGATGAGAGAGCAGGAGTGCAAGTTACCGCCAGAACAGAAGTTACATAAAGCGCAGTGAACTCCATCAGTCTCCCAGGTGTAGCTTTGCTTTTGCTGCGCTTGCTTTCTGCCACCTTCAGAGGGAACGTTTTTAAACAACTTCTCACCTTTCTAATCTCTCCTTTAAGCACAAGTTATTTCTGGTCTCTTCTGTTCATTAAATTGGTATTTTTACACTTTAACAATTCATATACGGTTACATCTAGATGCATGAGGGTTTAGGGTAAGGTACAGAAGATATTGTATTAATTAAAGCTTCTGGAATGTCTCCATGTGATAAATCTGCAGAGCTGATTCCAATAACAACTTCTTTGTATGTTGATTTTAGGATCAAAACCATGTAAAGGTGTCTCTTGAATCCTGTGTGTGTTTAAAAAGCTTATAAACGGTTCAAAATGCTGCTGTGCTTTATGTTTGAGTGGGGTTTATTTTCTCCTTAGTGGAAGTGCAGTTTTAAGGGTGGAAGCGTGGTGAGTGTATTACCAGTTTCTGCAGACCAAGCTGCTGTGTTCTGAAATGCAGTATTTCATGTTCAGTTAATCCTGGGTACTGATGCTTGTGCAGTGTCTTTTGTGAGACTGCATCAAAACAGAACTTCTCTTGACCTTTGAATAGTCATTAAATAAATGTAGCATCTTTTACTAATCCATTTCCCATTTGCTCTAATAACTTGGAAGGGTATTTTTACTAGTTTTTTCCATGACCCATGCTGCCCAGGTTTGGTTGGTTTTTGTTGTTTTGCAGCTAAAGGTATGGTTGCACTCACTAGACTCTCTTGGTGTAAGCAAAATATCCTTAGCTAGGAAAAAAGCAAGATTAACCAGAAGAATTACTTACTTCTAGAATGGAATTGGTACAGAAGTAATCCTAATTCCCATTTGAATGACTTGCTGGAGGTTTGGATAGAGTCCCTCAAGCTCTCCAGAATGTTTCCAGGAGCATCTCTGTCTGAAGAGGACAGGTTGGATAAAGCCTTGCTGGGAGGATTGTCAGCTCCTCAGTACAGAAGGAATTGCTGAACAATCAAAGTGATGACCCTCAATTTAGACATGCACTTGCATATTTTGCTGATGTAGCAGTTTAGCATGAAGTGCAGAAGTGTTGGGAATGACCAGGAATGATATTCCTTTTCTCCTTTTTTCTTTTTTTAGCTATAGCACCCCTGTATCCACAATGAGTTGTGGAGTCTTTTGCCATAATGTTTTGCTTTACTTCAGAGAAACTAAGAACTTTGTGTACAGAGAGGAGCACCCTCTGTTCTTGCTGCAGATACAAATGTGCATTTCCACTTGTGTCCTGCACAATGTCTGATTTATGGCAACTTGGGAGAATAAAGATGTTCCTTTACTTGCCAGACACAAGTCTGACAAAGCCACTAAAGCGGTGTTTAGTTGCTGTGTTCACCTCTCTGTCCCTGGCTGGTGGTTTGGGTTTTGCTGGCTTTCTTGTCTCCTAATACCGTGCCTTATTAAAAGCTCCTTTCACCCAGAACACACAGATGTAGTTTAGCACTGCAAGAGTGCACTAAAAATCCTTGGTCACAGATAAGAGGAAACGCAGATGTGTCAACTGAATGGCTAAGAATAAGTCTCAAAAGTGAATGCCATAGGTGGGGACATGGAGCTTCTTGGCTATAGCCCATATAGAGCTCTCCCTTGGCAGGACACTATATTAGTCATTCTGAAGGCTCTTTGTGGGTGGTGAATATCAATATGAGATTCCTGGGTGCTTGTATTTAAGTGGGATATATTCAGACCAGAGAAATCGCCATGGTAGTTGAGAGGCGAAGTCTGGCAGTCACCAGCACCATGCTCTGCTGAGGAAGGTGGGAGAAGACTGGGCAGAGCTGAGCAGCTTGTCCCCAAGTGAAGTTCCTTCCTGACCACTCTCAGCTGGTGGTCACCCCGTGCCCTAAAACATGAGGTTTTGTTACCTTTTTAACCTTTAAAATGCTGTCAAGTGTCACTTTGGATGTCTTGTCTTATTTTTAAGTGTTTTGCCTGGTCGTCTTCCAGTTTCTTTGTGTGTCTTGTCTTCCTGGAGTAAGGAAAATGTAGGATTGTGGTCTCTACATTGTATACCTCTGATACCATTTTAATCCAAGCAGTCTGAGTATGTCTAGATATAGCTCTTACAAAGCATCTCTTACCAGTGCATCAGATTGCAATGCAATATGAAATTAATAATTTATACTTTCTTATTAATTTAGGAATAAAATTCAGTGCTTCCTGGTTTTGAAGCTGTTGGATCGTTCTGTTGAGTCTTGTCATGGAATTCGAACTCTGAGGACCAGAAGATCTCCTGTTTATTAACACTCCTTATTCTTAACCTCTAATAGATGGTTTCATCCAAACATTACTGGGGTGGAGGCAGAAAACCTGCTGTTAACAAGAGGCGTGGATGGCAGCTTTTTGGCCCGGCCCAGCAAAAGTAACCCAGGAGACTTCACACTCTCTGTTAGGTAAGTTTAAATGGGCTTTCTCCCCACATTGGGAAGGGTCTTTAATGCTGTTCTTTGGAAAAGAGTTGTAAGTGAACTGCTTGTAAGAGATGAAGGCATGCATGGATCACTTGTTAGTCCATTGTTCCCTTTTCTCCTCTTTTTCTCCCGTTTTCCCTGCAGAGGTGCTCAAATACTTTTACCCAACTTGGGTAGTCAGTTCCGAGTCTCCAGACAAGCAGAAAAGCAAAGGGGATTCATAGTAACATTCATAATAGCATTGCTTTTAGCCCTTTAAAAATCTATTTGATATCTGAAAGTAGCACATGCAAGGAAATGCTGTCCAAGGCTCTCTTCTTAAAATCAGCAGGGTTTTAAGGACAACTGCAGTGCTATTTCAGCTTCCAAAATAGGCCTCTTGGAACTCTTGTCCCCTGAGACTGTCTGTATAGTGATGGGGATGGCAAGAGGAAGTAGATAAAGCACAAGGGAAAAGTGGGATTGGTGATAAGAATGGTGCTGCTTGGATACCTCTGAGATAATGGGCCTGGTTGAACAGAAGGGGCTGTTCTTCATTAATATTAGACTGGGAGCAAATGACTTGCATCAGGCAAAGGCAAGTGCTTACTGAAGGAGAGATCTTAGTGTGGAGCTCTAGGGAAAGGAGCAAACAAGCCGTGATGGGTGTCAGAGAATGCTGAATTCTCCTTACCCCTCCACCCCATGTACCTGTGTGTGCAGCTCCTGGGGGCTGAGGGCTTTCTATTGGAGATGGTGAAGCTGTAGAGCTTACCCTGGCTTTGAGGAGCCCTTTGTTACAGAGTGTTTTCCCTGTTCTTCCCAACTGTTGGACAGGTGCTTCCCCTTCTTGCAAGCCACTGGAATGAGGCTGAAGCACCCTTCAGAAACGCATTAGTTTAGCTACTCTGCAATGTTTCAATTGGGAAGTGATGCAAATATAAGTATGGATTTCTGTAACTCGGACAACAGAACACTAAATACAAAGTGATTGATTGGAAATCAGCTGACTTGTGGGGGTGTTTTCCTCTGTTTCAAATATTAGACGAACTGGAGCTGTCACCCACATCAAGATCCAGAACACGGGAGACTACTATGACCTCTATGGAGGAGAGAAGTTTGCTACATTGGCTGAGTTAGTCCAGTATTACATGGAACATCATGGGCAGCTCAAGGAAAAGAATGGAGATGTGATAGAGCTGAAATACCCACTGAACTGTGCTGATCCTACATCTGAAAGGTCAGGGAAATGCTGGTGAAAACCTCAGTGCCCATTTACTTAACAAATGCATGTTTATCCCTGTTAATGCTACAGTCAGCTTCATTTGATGAAAGGGTGGCTTCTCTCTGCTGTCCTGTACTAAAAGTGGTCCCACTGATTTTATTGAGGTTACTTGCAAAGTAGCCTAATAAACATGACTAAAGGTAAAGCGATCTAAGCCTCAGAACATGTTTTCTTCAGGATTCTTCCTGGTGTGATACTAAAAGAAGAGGGCATAGTTCCCTTCATTCTTAATGGGAGAATATTTTCTTATGGGATTGATGTGATTATCCTGTCCACTTCCTGATGTGATGCATGGGTAAGGTCTCAAAGATGCTAAAGTCCCACAGGTTTATCAGGAAAGTGTGTCTTCATGAAGGAAGTTAGAGGAATTAATGCTCTGGTGGAGGAAAAGGTTGCAGAGTAAGCTCATGCTTATTGGACACCAGGGAATCATTTGGATTGTTGTAAAGGATCCAAATCAAAGCTTCATTTGAAGCTTGCGTGAAATGCAAATTTCAGTGCCTATGGAAGTGTTTGCTTTGAAGTGCTTCTGTAATCACTGGTGTGTATGTACATTTCTGAGGCTTATTTTACTTCTTATTTTTAGAAACTGAGGCTTTCTGCAGACCTGGCCACTGTTGTTCAGTGTACATAAGCATTTCCTTTAAATATGTAGAACAAGCAGATTCAGCCGTGGCTGGAATGACAAGTAGGGTACCTGTCTATATCTTTATTTAAAGGTGGTTTCATGGGCATCTCTCTGGAAGAGAAGCTGAAAAACTATTAACAGAAAAAGGAAAACATGGAAGCTTTCTTGTGCGTGAGAGTCAAAGCCACCCTGGGGACTTTGTTCTTTCTGTCCGGACAGGAGATGATAAAGGAGAGAGTAATGATGGGAAATCTAAAGTGACACATGTCATGATTCACTGCCAGGTATGATGAAGCACGAGCTTCTTGAACAGGGCTGCTTCCACGGGCAGTGGGTTTATTCTAAGAGGAGGGCCATGTTGCACTTCACCACAGAGAGCTCTGTACATCCCCCTTTCCCCGTGGTACCGTGTGTGTTCTGTATCATCTCTGTGATCAAATTGACTCATTTGATAGCATCAGAATTATATTAGTGTTTTATTTCTTCTGACGGCTTGTCTGGCTGAATCATGTCACAATATACTGTGCTGTCAAGTACCTTCTAATAGAGCTGGTTTTGATTGCATCAGTAGTCTGTCTAAAATCCTCTGCTGATGGAGCCTTTCATGTTTGTGGATCTTAAACAAGTTAAAGTCTACTGGATGAATTACAGGGAAATAGAAGTAATTGGACAAATAGAGATCCATCCAAATATACGTCTTTCTCCTGTCAGTTTTTATAGGCGCACCTGATGATGACAGACAAATTTTGAGTATGGGATCCAAGGAATGCTTTCCAACCTGTAAATCTTCAGTTTAATGGAGGGTAGCTCTTTGCTGAAGTATTATTAAATTATAGTATTTTGATGTTTTAATACATGCTCATGGGTTTAAAAGAATAATAAATCACAGATTTTGTCATTTTCTTTTTCTTCTGTTGTCCTAAAAGAGTGTGCAACTACTTCATTGATTAGAAACAACTAAAATGCAGTAGCAGAAATAGTTTGGGGGTAGAAATTGTCTCCCAGCACTGTAAGAGCTCACCTGCCAGAATATCTTATTTCCCCAGGAAACCTCTTTGGTTTGCAGTTAACTACAAGTAGCATGTATGACAATGAGGAAAATAACAGCATTGCTTCCTTGAAATAGGGATGGTGCCAATCAATAGCAGCCTTTCAGGACCCAAGGATAGGAATGTGAGTTGATATCCAAGGCTGTCTCCTGGATTCTAGTCGTGTAGCTCGGGGAGCCTGGTGGAGCTGAGTGAAGCTCGGGTCAGAAGGAATCATGTCTCCTGGAAAGGCAGATGAAATGATTGTCAGTTAGATGACAAAAAGGCTAATGTCCCCCCTAGTGCAATTGGGTTTCTTTTTAGTAAGGTTCTACCATCCCTCAGCAGAAGGATTTTACTAGGTTCTCCTTCAAAGATAATTTCTCATACATTGCATAGCCTGAAGGTGATGTTAGTGTAGATGTCCCTGTGGGAAGTGCATTTATTTTGATGAGCATCTCTTTTTCAAGGATCTAAAATACGATGTTGGTGGAGGGGAGAAATTTGACTCTCTGACAGATCTGGTGGAACATTACAAGAAGAACCCTATGGTAGAAACTTTGGGCACAGTGTTGCAACTCAAGCAGGTGAGTGAACCGAGAAGACACCACTCAACTTGTTACCTTCATAATGTACTGAAGTGCAGAGGTTTCCCCCTGTTCTGTGAGACATCATTTTGTTTCTTTCCTAACACAAAAATGAAGAACTAAACTTCATGAAACCGGATGACAAAGTCAGTCATTTAAATGGGGATAATTTCTTACCTTCCTCTGAAGGGATAGTCTTGTGTGTGTGGTGTATGCAGAGCTTGTCTTGGTTGCACTGTGGTCCACAGGGACAGCAGGATGAGTTCAGAAATGAGATGACTTAATGGACTGAAGAACAGCCATGAGACTGTCTAAAAGCAGTTGTTCCCTGCTCCCTTCCTCTCTACTCTCAACTGCCCTTCATTGAACTGTGATGTTCTGAAGTCCAAATAGATGCCTGCATCCCAGAATTGCCTATACAAAATACGCTTGGTGTAGGGGATTTGTGTTTTAACTGTTTTCTCCCAGTTGCCATTTGTCATACCTGTTTGTATCCCTCTCAGCCACTGAATACCACCCGTATTAACGCTGCAGAGATCGAGAGCAGAGTGCGAGAGCTAAGCAAGCTGGCAGAGACTACAGATAAAGTCAAGCAGGGCTTCTGGGAAGAATTTGAGGTACTGCACCACATTCCAAGTCTTATAATATTAAATCTTTATTGCTAATAAAAGTTGTGTTTGTTACTGTTTTCCTGGCACTTCCTCATCTTCCCCCGCATCCATTCAGATCCCTGTTCCTGCTTCTTTCCTGTGTCAGGTACAGTGTGTGTTAAAATTTTGCCAGTTCCACTTTTGTGGATTAAGTATTTGCCTTTTTTTCCTCATTCTGAGAGCTAATTGTGTTCTTCAGTGTACTTTGTTCTCTACCTTGCACAATCCCTCCTGAATATGTTCCCCATCATGAGGGAATCTTGTGTATATCTGTCCCACCAGGACAATTAGTCCTGAACATAAGTTCATTCCTGTGTTCCTGTTCTTCGTGTGGACAGGAGGAAGTCTGTATGCTGGATTAATGTTTCTGGAGGCAAAGGAGTAATTCTGAGCCTACTTTACTCTTGGTAACCCAGGTATCAGTACAGTAGCAGTGTCTATGCAGTTGGAATACGTTGGGTGTATTATGTCAGGTGCATATGAAGGGAATTGCACTGTGGTTTCTTTTGCATGTCTTGGTGCAGAGGACGTTTCTGTTTGCACTCTGTTCAGGAGGTTGAGTACCTGCTTTCAGGAAATTTCACTGTGATTTCTCAGTCAATATATGCTCTTGCCCTTGAGTTTGTGGCTTTTGGATAGCCATTTTGGGGGATCTTAACACTCTTGTGAAGGGGTAGCAAGCTCTGAGATGAAGCCCCACTGATTATATGTATTCCTTGGACTCCTGGAGATTAATTTATGTTTTGTTCTGGTGCTTCATTTCTGTCTGCAGCCAAAATTCCACTTCCCTCCCAGAAAGTCTCATTGCCTTTCCCTCTGCCTTATCCGTGCATCTCTCGTGTCTAACACAGCTGTGCTGGCCCAGCTCTCCCCTTCTTTGAAGTCCTAATGATTTCAGGGAGCTACTTATGTTTGAAAGAAAATACAGCTGAAATGGTTAGTTTCTTCAGTAGACCCAAGTTATGAGCATCAGCTGTCATATTCCAAACTACTTGAGTCTAGCCTGGGTCCCAACTCTCCTCTGACAACTGGAGTCCCTTTACAGCTGCTTTCACTTGATGGTCATAGCCAAAACCTTAGAATTGTCTTAATGGGCTGAGTTATACCTCATACACCTGAGAACAGCACCGTGGAGTCTGGAACTCCACCAGCAGATGGCAACAGGAAACTGGCAAGCCCTGATCTTTGTTAGAGAGGCTGGTTCTGCCTGGGGAATGCTATTTTGAGAAACTTCTTGAATAATGACAGATTTTCAAAGCAACCATTATTGAAGACACTCTCTTTATGATCAGACATACTCATTAGCTGAAGGCACTGTTCAGTCTGATCTGAGATTGTCAAGAGGAGAAACATAAACCCAGGAAAAGCAAAAGATTACCAAGGAGGTAATAACACATTTCACTAGGAATGTGGCTGGAATATAAGAAGGTAGGGTTGTGGTGGTGGGAAGATGATAGAATGGATTGAGGATTGAGCTTGCTCCTCTCTCTTCCCTGTGTCCAGTTGCGGGGTGGATAGTCCTCGAGTCAGGACTGTGGAATGGTCAGAATCCCACCTTGGAGGGGGAAGCAACCCAGCAGAGGCTGCTCAGGGCACTGCTGAGGACTTAGGGCTCTGTTTTACCCAGCAGCAGAGTGGTGGATCCCCTGGTGAGCAGTTCTCACCTATGGCGTGTGAATATCCCCTGGAGGTAAACTGCCCTCAGCCTTTGAATTGCTTCTCTTGCAGAGTTCAAACCAAGAACCATAAACCTACTGGTTTAAACTAAACATACAAGTTAGCCAAGCAGAGGTCTCTGGCTTCCCTGGAGTCTGTAAGCACACCATACTCTTATTCAGAGGGCACAAAAAGGGAAAGGGTGCCCTGTTGGCTTGTCCTTCTTGTCATTGGTGCTGCCTGACTGAATTCATGTTCGTGGTTGGTTTGGTTTTTATTTTTCCTTGAGGGAAGCACTCTGGTGTGGTGCACTTAGGAAGGGATTGTTGATTTGTCACAGGATGACAGGACTATTACTTGACATTTACAGCTTCTTTCCTGACCTCCGCTCTTTGTTGGATAAATTTGTCTTGTAATGGATTTATTGGTTGGTCTTTAGAAAGTGTTCTCCTGCCTTGTGACTTTCCTGAAGAACAGTATTTGCCAGCAAGCCAGAAGCCTTACAGGGAAAGTAATGTAAGGAATGAAAAGTTTTATCCATGAAACATTCTACTTCTCTTTCCTTTCGCTGCGGGCAGCACTAAACTTTCTTCTTTCCCACTGTGTTTCTGGAGATGAAGCAAACTCTGGCGGTTTGTGTCATGCTTTCCTTCAGGTAGGTGATAGCTGTCAGCCTTGGTGGCAGGAGGCAGGATCCAACATTCAGGTTGTCTGTGGACCTCCATCTATGCTGTTTGAGTTGGCAGTCCAGATGGTACTTGTCTTCAGGCATACTTAAGTACCTCTTGTCCCTTGAACCACTAGACAGAAATGCTGACAGCCCTTGTGAGGTTTTTGCTTCTGAAAACTGGCTGTTTGGTGAGCTTAAAACTTGGATGGTGGAGTGAAATCGAGGGCTGTGTTTCAGATTTATTGTTGCATTGTGTACATCTCTTCATGGGCTTGTTAGAAGTCGCTGCTGCTCATGGATCTCTCCTCAGGGATGCTCAAAGCAATAACAATTAACTGTATGAAGTGGTGATGTGTTTGAAGCTGTCTTTTCCACTCACTTCATTGTTTCCATGTTTCAACCTGCAGGCAAAGTTCAGCTTTTGGTTCTTTCTGTTGGTGTTTCACTTGCCCAAGACTCAAAAGTGTAATATTAGGTCAGGGTGCTCTGTGATAATAGCACTTAAAGACTCTTGCAGAGGGCAAGAGGTGAGCTTAGTGCAAAGTGTTGTTTCATCCATCACTAGTATGAGCAAGTAGTGCTTTATGGGGATATGTTTTCTGTCCTTTGCTTCACAGCTCTCCTATATTGCTTTTGTTCTTTGGTTTCCATGTCTTTAGGATGAGCCTGATTGTCCAAGGTCACTAAGTGGGGTGGTAACAACAACAGAGCCTGAAATAGAAGTGAGCAAATATGCCTGACATGCCCGAGCTTTAAAGTAAAAGCAATTTCTCTAAGAGTATTAAGGATGGTAACAAGAGGAGCAGCTTCCAAAGCCTGAGTGTTCCTTTTAGTCAAGCCAGTACTGCTTTGGGGATTAAAACTTGGAACAAAGACACAGATTCTGGTCCCTCCAGCTTCAATTACAAGGGGGGAGATTTGCTACTAAGCAGCATGGCTGTGAAGTGTGGAATTGCTGTTGTCCCTGTCACACTGATTGTGAACCAGACACTGAGGAATTAGCTCTCTGCCAACAAGAGCCATCCCCATATGGGTTTATTGTGTCTGCACTAGGCTGATTTGTGGATAACCCTGTTTGTAGTTACCTGCTGCTTACCCCTCTTTCCCCAATGGGGTAATATGAGAAAGTCTGCAGAGTTCTGTACTGGTTCAGTGAAATGGCTTTGTATTGGTGGGAGAGGATAATGAGAACAGTTAAAGCGGTACATGGCTGTGGTGATGGGCTGTACATTAGCATTTTACCTGTCTCAAAACACTATCGCATACCCATGTGGACTTTTGTTTGGGGGGAATAGACAACATCTTCCTAATATTCTCCTTCTAACTGCTGAAGGACTCTTCACTGTGCTTGGTATTTAAATGCAGTTCATTGTGTTGGTGTGCTTTGGGCTTTCTGTATGCTGCTTCCTCCTCTTGGCTGGCTGCAGTGTGTCTGGCTGCAGCTGGTGAGGATCTGCTCTTGTGGTGTTGATGTAATACAGCTTTTGAAATCTCAGGGACTTGTTTTGGGGGCTTCCTAGCAGTGTTACTGCAGACTTGCTGTAGCTGAAGGAGATGAAGAAGGCTGCTAAGGCCTAAAGGAATCCAGCACAGGTCAGATAGAGAAGCACTGGATCACAAAGTGCCTTACTCCCTTGGGATCTGGCCATATTTTGAATGTTTTAGGTTCTAAACTTTACTGTTACTGAGGCTAATGCCAGTTCAATGGAAATATTTTGCCTCCATACCTGGCTGATTCAGCAAAAAGGAGAAATGCAGTGGTACTCCTAACTTTTATGCTTGGTGAGGAAGACCTAGAGGTAAATATGTTGGACCTGCTCTGTAGAATGCTGCTTGTGTTGTCTGTTTTATCTGGAGTGCCTTGAAGATGGCCACAGCATCATGAGGACTTGCTGGTTATAGTTTGATTGAAAGCAGCTTTGAATTCGTAGGTGTTTGTAATTATTAGATGGAAAACAACTTCCTTGTCGCTCTCACTCCTTGTTTCTTATAAGCATTAGAAGCAATTGTGTACTAAGTCTGAAATGCAGCACCTTTCCCTCTTTCTCTGGCATTATAAGTCTCATCCTTTTTGTGCTAAAGCACTGCTGTAATGATGCTGAAACAGTCCCTACTGTTGTTATTAAACCCAGTTATTTGTGCTGTTTTCCTTTAGACCCTGCAGCAGCAAGAATGCAAACTTCTCTATAGTCGTAAAGAAGGTCAGCGCCAGGAGAACAAGAACAAAAATAGATACAAAAACATTTTACCCTGTAAGTATTGATTTCTTTGGTTCCCATGTACGCCTGCTCTGCTTCTATGCTTTATTTTCTTAGCTCATAAATACAGGGTTAATTAAACACTACTGTGCTTTTTCTTCTTGTCAGTGATAATTCCCCCTCTGATGTTGTCGGTATCAGCCCTTGCAGTTTGTGTTCAGACACTTGCACTTGTAGATATTGGCATTTCCCAAATATTATTCTTATCTTCAGCTTTCAGTTAAAAGCATCACATCCCTAAACTGTTTCTCAGCTAACTGGAATGCTTAAATCTAAGAGGATTAATTTATGGTGCAAAACTGCATGTTGCAAACCAGGGGCCATTTGCCTTGACTTAGTGCTTGACTGTCCATGGACTTGTGAGTTACCAGGGGGGATATACACCTATTTTGAGCTGTTATGGCCACTTGTATTAAGAAATGGCAAAGGAGGAAAGGTTGAATATTCCCGCCAGTAATGTACTGAGTTTGATAACTTAATAGTCTGTCTGTGGGATATTCGAAAGTAGCTGTGTATTCACAGCTGTAGGATGCAAGTCCTTAACGTTCACATATATTCTTCCAGTTGATCATACCAGAGTTGTTCTACATGATGGTGATCCGAATGAGCCTGTTTCAGACTATATCAATGCTAATATTATTATGGTAAGTATAATCCTATCTACAGGAGCCTTGTTGGCACAGCCCATGTCTACTCCTTAATGTATTCGCCTAAATCCAAGTTAGTTTTGTAACCATTTGTTAAATGATTCTTTTCCTTTAGCCTGAGTTTGAAACCAAGTGCAACAACTCGAAGCCAAAAAAAAGCTACATTGCTACTCAAGGTTGCCTACAGAATACAGTGAATGACTTCTGGAGGATGGTGTTCCAGGAGAATTCTCGAGTTATTGTTATGACAACAAAAGAAGTTGAAAGAGGAAAGGTAAAAGCTGACTCTCAAACTGGCCTTGGGTAAAGTCATGACATTTGAACACGGTAGGGACTAAACTGTCCTGGTTATATTGATATATTGCTGAAACCTGGTGTGCTGGGAAAGTGCTGAGCATCCCTTTTATTGGTGCCTGTGGGAACTGAGGGTATGCTCCTAGCAGATCATCAGACCTCCCTTCTGTAAGGGTTGACTGATTCAATTTTAGCTTTGTATATTTTAAAATCACTCAGGGAGGTGTCTGTGGTTTTCTACAAACCATATTGCTGCTCTGCCCCTTGGAAGAAGAGCAATAAATTACGGTGGTGTTTTAGAAGAGTTGACTTGAATAAACCTTATGTAGTTCTGTTTAATAGCCCACGGATGGCCTGTGCTCCTCTGCAGCCTCTCCATGCTTCTTTCCAAGTTTTGCAATGCCACTTGTTTGGGCTCTGCAGACATTTTGATGTCTGATTATGGGATCAGTGCTGCATGCACTGATTTGGTTTTCTCTTACTCTTTTTTGTTTTTTTGATGCTTATTTTGCTTCTTCAAGAATTGCAAATAAGAGTCCTGATATAAAACAAAAGCTTTTTTATCTTGAGCCAAGATGCTTTCAGATCTGCAGGAAGGGGACAAACCTCTGCATCAGAAATGACTTCAAGAGCACATTGCCTAAGGAAGTGAGGAACCATGAAAGCTGTCAGATCTGCAGAGAGTTCTGAATATGCCTTAAAATGCACTGTAGGAGCAGCAAATACTTACAAATGAAAATGGTGGTGTTCTGGATGCAGTCCATAGAGCCAATAATACACACATCCCTCCATCAGGCTAAAGCTTATTTTAACACTGTGTATTGCTGTTCAGACTTGCTTCTCCAGCTGCTCTTGTGTTCAGAGGTCTGTATTGAGACTGCAAGTTATGCTGGCATATGCCAAGATCAGCGTCTTTTTAGCTTCTACCCTTTGGGAGATGACAGGGAAAGAAGGGCAAAAGTAACAGAAGAGCATCTTGTTGCCTAAGCAGGCTGGAAAGCATGTGTTCAGTCATCTCTTGCTCTGTCTTGTGTTGGCAGAAGGAACTTGTTGCCGTGTTTTCTTATCAATATGCAGTAGTAGCTGCAAATAGGAAATGTTTCTCTGTAGTACTCGGTGTTTGGTCTGCATTTGCTGGAAGCTGCATCTGTGTATGCACTATAATACCTGATTTGATCCCGTGTAGACTGGTATTGCATTCACAGGCTAACAGGAGTTGTTCTTTCCTCAGCTGTCCCAGGAATCAAATCAAAGTAGCAATAGGTGAATCCATTCCTTGGTGGATAAAATCTATCCCTGTCCAAAGATAATCTTGACACCAAAAGCTCTACATTTCAGAAGCTACAGACTCATGAGGTTTCAGCCTCCTGCCACAGAGCGCAAGTCTTTGTTGCTTTGGTGATTGGTAATAGAATTAGAGAGCTATGTTAGCTCTTTCTGCTCTAAATGATGGAAAAGCAAGCATCCAAGTTTCATTTCTGCTAAAAAACGGCTTATATCTTTGACTTGAATTTATTTCACAGCCTGTTGGCTTTGGATTGTAGACTAGCCTGTAAAACTACAGCATTGCATTGGAAACTCAGTAGTTGAAACCTGTAGTTGGGTGGAGATACAAATAACAGGGTTTTAATCTCCAGGCTTTGAAACTGTCACGGCAAAGCAGGTATTTAAGATGATAAGAAAAGCTCTAAATGGGGACATTGCCTGTACCTGTTTGTCTGAAATCATCTGGTGTTTGTTTGTGGGGAAGAGAAACGTTCACCTAAAATGTACCTTGTCATCTAGCTGTCCAGCTGGTGCTAGGAACTGTCCTCTCTGCATTCAGAAATGAAAGCTTCTGGAATGTTCTGTGTTGTCCAGTTTATGAACCAGCCCTTCTTCTTACCAATTCCTTCTTTAATCTTGCAGAGTAAGTGCGTCAAGTACTGGCCTGATGAATATTCCCTAAAGGAGTACGGAGTTATGCGTGTCAGGAATGTTAAGGAGAGTGCAGCACACGATTACACGCTAAGAGAACTTAAGCTTTCTAAAGTTGGACAAGTAAGTATGTCAGTAACTCTGTCCTGTGAACTGAGGTTGAAGAGCACCAGAAAGATTGCAGAAACAGACTGCTTCTTTGGAATCAATAAAAGCACTGAGAGATTAATGAATTGACCCCTGTCTTTCTTTGAAGCTCCAGGTTTAGTTGTATCTCTTTGTCCTTGGGATAACTGAAGATTCTTAAACCTAAGCACTTCTTGGCAGAAGATGCATGGCTGCAGAGCTTTGAGGAAATCTGGAGAGAGAGAGACGGTGCTTTAAAGTAGTTGCATCTAAGTCTAGCTAAACATCTGCTGCCTTTCAAGGAGGTGATTGTGCTAGAAGAAGATGGTTCTGTGTGGGTCCAGTATGTAGAAAGAAGACTTAAGGAATACAAAAGATGAGGAAGGAGACAGTTAACTAGTGTGGAAATATCACTTCCTTGTTAAGGAACAGTTTGGTTCAGGGTGCAAAGCAAATTGTGTAGGAAGAAAATTAGCAGGATGTACTAGATTGGAGTGTCCATGGGATGGAGCTGAGTGTGGAGAAGTACGTAAGGTTGGTGTCACTAGGTATGAATGAGGAGTATGACAGATGAAGGTTCCTCACTGTTGGTCACCCTCAGACAGACCTTTATCGTGGCCTTTAAAGGTGAAGATGGAAATGTTCTTGGAAACAAGTGCATGAGAAGGAGGGAGCTCAGGAAGCAGGTGACGTGATTGACTTGTTAGGCCAGGAAGAACTCTGGCTTGTTCTCTCCTTTAAGACAGTTGTGATGCTGTGGATACCAAGCAGCAGGTTGGATATGCCACCATCTGATCAGGCTCAGCTTTGCCACAGAAATGCTTTTAGCTGGATTTTGATGTGAAGGGTTTTGTTTTCATGTGTTGGCATCTTCCTTCCAGGGGAACACAGAGAGAACAGTCTGGCAATATCACTTCAGGACTTGGCCTGATCATGGAGTCCCAAGTGACCCTGGTGGTGTACTAGACTTTCTAGAGGAGGTGCACCATAAGCAGGAGAGCATTTCTGATGCAGGACCAGTTGTGGTCCACTGCAGGTATGGTGATGCACTGTGCCTCTCCTACTACTACTCTCTACCTTGTGGAGCTGGATCCTTTTTTTCCCCCCCCTCTTTTCTTTCTGCTTCGTGTTTTGCAAAACACAAAGTCTGTATGAATAAGGATTTCTGATCTCGTATGAGAAGGTGGTTCCAGTCTTGGCTCCATACAGTTCAGGTGCAGGACTGTGGAAATATTCCATTATCCCATCCCACCTGCTGCGAGTGCTTTTTCCTTAGTCTTGGCTTATAAATTAAATACTTCTTACAAGGCAAGAAAATGTTAGATCTGACCCTGTAGGTTTTTTTCTGATTCAAGGATGTTAATAAAGGCTGAGGTACAGAAGTGCTCTCTCAGTCAAGTTGCTTAGGTCTCTAGTTACTTTTAGCTCTGTTGCTAAGTTTGATTCTGGCTATAATTCGGAAGTATAATGTCTATTAGTATTAGTCTCTGAGTTGCACTGGTGTTTTGTTGTCTGTTCAGAAAGAGCAAAACAGTTAACTTCTTTTCTTCCTTTTTCCAGTGCTGGGATTGGGCGAACAGGAACGTTCATTGTGATTGATATTCTTATTGATATAATCAGAGAAAAAGGTACGTTCTGCTGGAAGAGGAGACCAATCTCTCCTCCAAAGACAAAGTTTGTCTTGCTTTTCTTAACCTTATGGTGATTTTCCCTAGGTGTGGACTGTGATATTGATGTTCCAAAGACCATTCAGATGGTGAGATCACAGCGGTCAGGAATGGTTCAGACAGAAGCACAGTACAGGTTTATTTACATGGCAGTACAGCACTACATTGAAACGCTACAGCGCAGAATCGAGGAGGAGCAGGTACGTTTGTCCTGAGTCTAAAACATTCCATAGGAACATGTTAGCATTTGAACAGGGAGCAGAGTTGCTCATTTGCTGCCTGTGACTTTTGGAGGCATGACTGCTGTCTGTGGGTAACCAGTGCATCGTGACAAAGTTGGGCCTGTAACCTGTTAACCCTGTTCAGAGAAGTTAACCTTTATTTCAGTTCATTATGCCTAAGAATTACCTAAACTGTTAAGTGGAATTAGGAAACGATAAAATGAAACCAGTGTGTTTGGCAGAGGAAGAAAATCAGGACCTTCCATGAAAATGCTAGCATGTGTGGGATCCTGTCCTCCAGGCCGTTCACTCCAGCTCTCAGATTCCCTCAAGAACAACAAAAGATAAGGCTCTATTACTCAGTACAAAAGCTTGTGTTCTGTTGTGTTTTGAAGAGGTTTTGAATATTGCCTGTATTTCTAAAATATGATAATCAAATTCAGCTGCTAGACATTCTAATACCAATTTGAGTCTTCAAGCACATGTTTTTTTAGGAAGGCGTAAGTATATTGGACTGAAATGTTAAAGAATGAGCGTGGTGATCTTGCAGTAGTACAGTGTCCAACAAAAAGCAGAGGAGTGATTTGGTGTGGTAAGGTGAGAAAAGCTTTGCAATATGTGGTGACAGCCCCAAGCCCTTCGGGTCACTCTTCCTGTTTGAAGTACGTCACTGCACTCAAATCCTACAGTCTCACAGAAGTGACTTCATGTTGTAATAAAAACCTGGCATTCTGCTTGCTGTTGCTTTTCATTCTCTGGTCATCTGGGACTTTTATCTTTGTTTCACAATTTCAGTGTCTTTCCTTCTGCAGCTGGCTTGCTGCTTGGGAGATAAAGACGCACAACTGAAGAGGCAGATGTGGGGAGCTGCGTGGTTAGCACAGTGCCGGATGTGAGATACAGTCCCTCTTTAGAGATGGAGTGTGCCAGCTCGGGTTTGGCACTTTCCAAGAGAAGCCACTCTCTTGTGTGGCTTCTGCCTGCTTTGGAGTGTGGCAGAGCTGATTTGATATTTGCCTACATGATGTGGCTGCTCTGTTCAGCAGAGAGGATAGAGGCTTTATTCCTCTCCTCAGGACAGCTGTTGTGTGCTCTGATGGTGATTAGACACAAAGTGAAGAACAAGTAATCCCTCAGGTGTACTTTTTTTCCTGCCTTTGTTGTCTCCTTTTGCTCTAAGGAGCTGGCTCATATCTGTGTATAATGATGCAAGTATCCTCAGCTCGTTGAATAGGGTCTCTTTCTGCTGCTGCCATTTGCAGAGTAGATCTGGAACTCTTGATCATTGTAATAGGTTTTGAGTAGTATTTTGATACTAAGTGGAGCACTGTATTTCTCCTGTAGTGATGAGACTCAGTTGTGTTTCATCCTCTATTCCATTACTAGCTCAGAAGGCACAGGTATAAAAAGAAACTGGAAGTGGACTGTTGCTTTACTTCAGGAGGTCTTGACCTATAGCTGGGGCTAGTGGCAGCTGTAGGGATAAAACCGTATAGAACTTCTGAGGCAAAAGCAAAGCTCTGTGGTCACTATAGGAGCTAATGCCCTGAAAAAATCATGGTGAACTGGGGATGCTCCAAGGCATGTCTTAATAGAGCAGAAAAAACCCTGGCTGAGTGGTAGGATGCTTGAATTTCATCCCAGTAAGATGGTTTGGAAATGAAACGGTGTGTTTAGAGAAACTTTAACTTCTGGAACCTTCTCTATGCTTGCTTTAATTGCAGTTGCAAACGGGAAGTTGGGAATAAAAACTGGTGAAGTGATTAGGACCTTTATAGGAAACCATATGAGGTCATGTTCCTGTCTGCTCTTCTGTCTGGATGAACACAAGCCAACTCTGATAAGGAATTAGGTGGTCACATTAGCTAGCCCGTTGTCAGGCAGGACTTACAACCAGCTGGACTGAAGAAGTGGATTTGTGAGCAGCTGCATCTGTTCACATAGATCTGCCTGCTTCTTGTTTGTATTCAGGAGAAAAATGTCCCTCCTCTGCAAGCATTCCTTCCTGCTTTGCCATGCTGAGAGTGTCAGGGTTTCACAGTTAGGTGTTGTGTTAAATGCTGCCTGCCTTCTTACGAGTGGGGAAGAAAAGCAAAGTGAATTTGGTTTATTTATGACTTTTTCCTCCCCTGGAGAAATGTTATATTCTCTTGCATCTCAGAAACAAGTAGTTCTTACCACATTGCAGCGATTGAGTTAGAAAGGATCATTACAGGTGAATTAGAAGGAAGAAAAGCCAGATATCTACTTTTTCTTGGCTTGTTTTATCTGTTTAGATCAGCTTAAGTAATAGACCCAGATAGATCTTTTTAATTGTTTTTCCTGTACAGTACAGCTGTAACTTGAATTGCATTCAGCAGTTTAGTGTGGTGGATGGCAATCAAGCCCTAGTTTTGGGCTTCAGAATATAGGGGTTTGGTATGCCGTAACATTGGAATGCAGCAGAGTTTGAACCTTTCCATTTGCTTTAATCTTTCTTTTTAGCATTAACCTTCCAGGCAATTGATGTGTCCTGGCAGTAGGTAGAAAAGTGATTTGTCAGGAGTAAGCAGGAGCCTGAGAGGGGGGAAGTTCAGTAAGAGAACGGAACAAGCTGAGCAAGTTTTGAGCAATCTCAGAAGGGTGCCTTGGAAAAAAACATCAACCTACATTGCTGCATGGAGCATTCTTAGTGAAGCTGAGCAGCCAGGACTCCCCAGAGGCTCTGACAGCCTCTGCTGTGAGGTTGATCCAGGCCAGTTATTTAGTACTTGTTCAAGCATTTAAAAACCCAAACCAACCCCCCCAAACAACAAACTCCACAAGAAAACCCCTGAAATCCAATACCCTGTGAAACTTTAAAGTGAGGTTTTCATTTCCATGCAGGTTTCAATATCTGCATGTGCTGTGGATGTTTGTCTTGAAAAGGAACAAGCCATATCCCCTTCCTTTCCTAATGTAGCTTTGCTTGCTGGAGCCTCCAGTATCTTTAGCTGCATGCCAGCACGATTGGCTGCAGCTTGGAGCATATGCTGCAGAATACAAATAACAGCTTGGGTTCTTTTTATATCGAACCTAATGGGCTAAGATGTTATTTTATTAGAGATCTTGCAAACAATGTTGTTACTCATTTGGACACATCTCCAAGCTGGAAATAAGGTCAGCGGGAAGCCCACTGCCTGGTACTGTCTATTAAAGAATGAAGTGTGGTTTCTTCTGCCAAGTAAGATGAAGATTGCATATGAGTTCATAGGGTTGGTGTAAACTGCTGGAGATGGTGGAAAGCATAATAGTGAGAAATGAGGCTTTTCAGGTCTTGTAACCAATAGCTAAATCCAGCCCTTATGTCTTACCCATTTGTGTATGTTATCTACAGATCTGAGCTCTCTCATCCTCATAGACAAACCTTTCTTCTAAACCCATACATGTTTAGTTACACATGTAATTTCTGCACTGCTTTCATGACTGTTTTCTATCAGTAATCCAAAACCTGCCTTTTTGTTGTGTTTTGTTTCACAGAAGAGCAAGAGGAAAGGTCATGAATACACAAACATTAAATATTCTTTATCGGACCAGACAAGTGGGGATCAGAGCCCTCTTCTACCCTGTACCCCAACCCCAGCGTGTCCAGAGTAAGTTCACTTCTCTTGTTAGTACAGTTCAGAGCTTAGGCACTAATCATCTGGGACTTCAGATGTGAATGAGTCACCACAAAATCTTCCCTATTCAGTTGTCCTGTGCTTTGCTCTTAAATTGAGAGAGCCAAATTGTCACTGACTTAAATTGTGTGTCTAAATATGGTTTTCTCACACTAGATCCTTTGGACTGTAAATACTTATTTTGTTTCAGAATGAGAGAAGATAGTGCTAGAGTATATGAAAATGTGGGGCTGATGCAACAGCAGAAGAGTTTCAGATGAGAAGATGTACAGAGACTTCCATGCAAAGGCAGGTATGGGTGGATGTTCAGGAGCGAGTAGAATCCAGCCTGGGCTTGTGGTGCTTGGAGAAAATGTACCCAAAACCAAACTATGAGAACTATAGAAAGGACTCCCTAATTCCCAAAATGCATGTAATCCAATAGGGCATTTAAATCCCAGAAGCTCATTTTAATTGAGTTGCATCTATGTCTACCCTTTCAAAACAATGTGCAATTTGGCTTCTGTTCTTGTGTCTTGGCTCACCAGTGAAATGAGTTGGAAGTCTTTATTGTTCAGGAGACTGAAGTTCTGCACACTGGCAAAAGACGAGTAGCAACTACAGTCTGAAGTTTCCATATCTTTTAACAGTGATGTGTGTTTAAAGTGATCCAGAGAACACTTAATCTCATGCTCAGCCTCATAAAAGATGTGATGAGCAGTTACTGCTGTGCCTGTGTGGTGTGAGCATTTGCTCTAGTAGTGTTGTCATACTAGTAAAAATGAAATCCTTTTGCTGGGAGAGAAATCTAGATTCTCTTTATTACATTTTAAATATCTTGTATAATTTGGTTCTTGCAATTAGACAACGGAGTATTATGTGTAGGTTATTAGCTAATAAGTTTATCTGATACTTCAGTTAATGGGCTGTGAATACAGCGAAGGAAAACCTTTAAATTTAAAGAGGCTTTAGTAATTAATTTCATTTAGATTCTAATCTAAAGACTTTTTATCATCTTTTCCCTGTATTTTTAAAGCCTTATTTTCCCTTTTCCATTTGGTAACTGTGTGATTCACCCATTTAGTCCAGGGACCTTCTCCAAGTTTATACACAGCCTCATCTTCTACTGCCAAAGTATCGCACACTTCATAAGCACAGTTTGAGACTTTCAGCTGAGTTTAAGTTTGTCTTGAGCACTTCTGTGTCATGTCAAACTAAGAAATACCTGCTGGTTTCTTTTCCTAAATAATCCTTTTCTTCTCCCTTCCTTTCCCAGAAATGAATATGGTTTTTAAAAAGGTCAAGAAAGAGATGGAAGAAGCTTCACATGAACGGTGAACTCTGAGGGCTTGGTACCTTTTCATTTACGGTTTTAATCCTTCAACAGTAGGCAAAACTTCAGACCATCTAAAGATTGTTGATCTCTCTTCTCTCCAATACCTGATTTACAATTGCTCGTTTTCCAAATAAAAGGAAATCCTTCTACAATGTAGACACCTACTTTGTAGAGTCAGTTTTGAATCCCACAAACTGTTGGACTGGCATCCATTTGTTTTTTAACTAGTGTCTTTGTTTCACTGTATGGCTGTTAGTTGGGTTTTTTTCCTTATTTGAGCAGTTGTGGGATGTATTTTGATTTCTCTTCTGTTTTTTGGGGGGGTGGGGTGGTGGGAGAGCAGTGGTATGGATAAATCCGTTACAATAATGTAAAATACTGATGGGAACAATACTTGATTGTTTGAAAACAGTGGATCACCAGCATGACTAGAATCAGCTACATGATAAAATTAGTCCTAATACATTTCAAACTCAGACTGAGTTTCATGGGAGTGAGCAGTTACTGATATGAAGGTGCTTTTTGTGATGACTGATGGTTTCGATTGCGACTTAGCTGAGTGGCTGGATGGGCTGGTTTTGAGTAATGCAAGGTAGCCTTTACATCAAACAAGATTTCTTTTCCATGATCTCTATCCAAAGTAGACGTTGACTGTGTCTCTCAAAAGACACCGTGGCCTGGCAGTTTGGGAAGACACTGTCTGTGTTCATTTGTCTGTGTTCATCTGTTAAGCAAGAGATTGAACTTGTTGTTGATGCCTTCACAGCATATTTAAAACAGTGAAACAAGTAACCCACTGTGCAGGCTGTTACCTTAGTGTGAGGTAACCCTCTTCCCCTTCTTCTGGGGAGGTGAAAGCTCTTGAGCCTTCTGGTTTTTAGTAAGGCCTTATGCTTGTTTGAATGGCTCAATTAAAGCTGGGGCGGGGGGGGGAAGTATTGTATAGAAGCAAGGGACTCACTGAAATTGCCTTAGTTGGAAAGGGCAGCCCGGGCAGCAGGGCCAGCAGGCTTGTTCTGGATCCTTCCATCAGGCAGGAGTTGGTTACTGCTCTATCTGAAGTGCGTTTCAAAGCTGCATTGACTTTGCTGTCCCTATTTGGCTAAAACTCACATGCATCTGAAACCACTTCTGATTGTTGTCAGTGAGGCACAGTCCTCTTCTGGAGCCTCTAGAACTGGGAACTGCTGTTAAGCTGCCATTTAATTGGGTTCCTTTGTTTGCTCTGCCCAATTATCTGGACCAGAAGCTCCCCTCAAAGCCATGAGCAGCCACGTGTGTGTGTTAATGGCAGGATCGGTCCCTGGGAGCAGGTACCGGTGATGTCTTACCAACACCTCTTCCCCACGTTTCTGGGGAAGTTCTGTGACTTAAGTGGTGTTAAGCAATTATTGCCATTTTCATACAGCAGATGCAGATGGTGAACACTGCATTCAGCTGCTGTGTGCAGGGCCAATGGAACTGCGTGATTGGCCTTACTAATGAAATGATGCTGAAGCCTGGAATGTAATTCATGCAGCTTTGTGAAAGGTGAAGTGGGAGATTACATTGCCTGTTCCTGAAAGTGCTTTGCAAAATCAAATATTGGAACACTTTGAACTGAATGAAGGTGCTTCTTTAACGTTAAGCAGAATTTTGTTACTTTGCCTATTGTCCTTTTTGTCTTTGAGGCTTTGGGTTTTCTTTGGAACTCTTGTCACCAGCATACCATAATACGTGTTTTAATGCCATAGCCTTATACTCTAGCCATAAATACTTGAGCCCTTGCTAGATCTACAATTTCCAATCATGATGAGAGAGAAATCTGTTCATTAGGTAGTGAGATGCCTGTTGTACATCACCTGCTTTCTCTTCTGTCCCTCAGCATCCTCCTGCTGAACCAGCCATCAGTTGTAACTGTTGGTGTTTCTATAGAGCAATTGACAGCAACTAAGTATTTGTCTAAAACTTTGTGCAGGTAGACAAATGCTGCCCTTCATATGTTACAGCTAGGTGGAAGGGGTTCATGTTTGGAGGTGGTGTGCACCAAACTGAAGAGTCAGGGGGAAAGTCAAGAGAAATGAGAGAAGGATCTGGAATGAATCTGAACTGTTATGAACTCAGTTAATGTCATGTGTCTTAAAAGGTTGACCTGTAGAAGCAGCAATCACTTATCTGGCCAACATAAAGTTGCCTCTAAAAACCTCATTTCAGCTGTTTAGGACCTGCCTCTGTAGGGTTTTTGTTGTTTTCTTCTTTTCTTTTCTTGGAACCAGGGAATTCTTACTGCAGAATGTGTATTAATCCTGGGGTGCTTATGGTGGGAGAATGTCAATGAGGAGGGAACAGAATCTGAGAGCCTGTAAATAACTTCTCCTCTCCTAACTGGTGTGTTGGGCCCTGCTGCATACCAAAGGGGAGACCTTGCAAAATGGAACCTTTCGTGCACCAGCAGGAGAGGGGTGATTCTTAAAGTGTTTTTGTAAATTATTTTAAGCAGTGGTTGGGGTTTGTGGCAGATGAAGCAAGAGAGAGCAATGGCCTTTGGTTCAGGGGAGATGAGTGAATGTGGGTTTCGTGTATTTCTAGTGAGTTTTTAGGGAATACATTTTTAAGCATTGATTTCAAGCTTTTGCTGTGTCAGTGGAAAAGGGATGCAGTTCTGAAGTGTTCTGCTGGAGACTTTATACCACAAGGGAAACTTTAACCCAACTCCTACGGCACAATAATTTATGCCAGCATGAATTTGCTGCAGACTTCATTTACTGAATGTTTTATAGCATACACTTTAATTTCAGCTAACTGTTGTTCGGACTGATTGGTTCTCCTATTAATCCTGACCAAACTCTACTTTTTTCCTCTTAAGACCTGTGTTTGAAACACGATTAACTCGGCTACAGCTAACGAAGTTATAAAACCTGTCTCCTTTTTTGTTGTAGGGATGAGAGCAAAATCACAGCTGGTACTAGGATGTGTTGTCAGGTTTTGATTTCCTACCCATAACTTCATTATTTCAAATTAATTTTTTAATTTCTCCCTTTCAAATAGTGAAATCTAATGAATAATTTCCAGCCTCTTTATTTATGACATTATTGTGATTTTTGGTTTTATTACAGTACTAAAGACTAATGAAAAAGGATCCTCTTTTTAGGTGGAGTAGACCTTGCATTTATTTTTTTTCCTGCAGTGTATGAAGTATTGTACCAGAGTATTAAATGAAATGTAATATTTTATTGAGAAAATTTTTATCCTTTAAAAGGAATACGTTTAGGATGTCATCAATTTGATGTGAATCATGTAAATGTTGACGATGCGCTGTTTATTATACATCTAGTGTTTCAAAAGACTCACTTATTGCCTTTTGCCCACGTACATTCTGTAGACCATTTACAATTGTCAAAATGTGACATTAAAATAATAGTTCCTGTATAGAAATATTGGTGGTTGTCCATTGTTTTCTGTGCTGGTATTTATGGCTCTTGGCTCAGCTGCTCTGCTAGCTGCATTGTGATTTTTATTGCCGCGAAGCTCTCTTATCAGAAACAAAAGCATATCTGTAAACTTCAGAAAGACAAAAAGAAAAGGGAAAAAAAAAAGAATTAAAAAGGAAATAAAATGGTTTTCTTAAGATGGTTTGTCATTACTGTGTTCTCCAGCTCGCCCTCGGAGGAGATGGTGTTGAATCTCATCTTCCACTCTAGAGCAGAGTGTTTCCGTGCTGTTCTGCAGAGCCCCCCGTGGGATGCGATGCTGTTGGAGAGAGCAGCTGTCCTTCCTGAGAGCCAGTGGAGCAAAACTCCTACTAAATAGGATGTACACGAGCTTTTATCTCTGTGTTGCTACCATTTGCTGCCAGCTGGCTGCCCTGTGGGAGGTTCTCTGTCCTGTCCAGGTACTGCTTCTCTCTCAGTGGCCCTTGGCCTGGGAGCCCGGTGCCTGTGCTCCTGCAGTGCCCAGGTGTCCCGGCTGCCTCTGCTTTCTCTTCCCTACTCCACCTTCAGATAATTTACCTTCATTCTTTCCTTACTGATTTTCCAGCTTGGTGTGAAACATGCTCAAAACTGGCCTGGGGAGAATTAGCCTCTTTTTTTGCTATTAGTGTATAATCAGTCATTTTTAATTGGGGGAAAAAAAGGACAATCCTGTTCTGTCTCTGTCCACATCACACTTGGCTGCAACCCGCTCTTCTGGAGCGAGGGGTAAAGAAGCTGTTGCTCCTGCTGCTCCTTCCTTCCACATCTTTCATCTCTTGTGCCATTTGTCTTTGGGGCCCTGCTATTTCTTGAGATCCTCTTATGCCAGCACCACGCAGTGACTCAGAAGTGGGGCTGGTGCTTTGAAAGGAGCTGTATTGCACCCCAGGCTCCTTTCTGCCAGCTGCTGCCACCCTTCTTCAAAAGCTATTGAAATCTCTGGCTCTCTGTAGCATTTGGAACTAGACACTTCCAAAAATGAGATGTCCTACCTGTTCCGTAGCCTGGAGCACAGGAGATGTGTGCCCATCCATTTTGTGTATCAGTCTGATTTTTTTTTGGTCTACTAATACTGCTTTTTCTTCCTTAGAACTATTGGGAAGGTTCCCATTAGACACATCATCACTGTCACCCATTCCCAGAGCTGAGCCAGCCTGAGTGGCCTCACTAAAACATGAAGGGGTTTCAATTCAAGGGAAGGTTCCTCCAAGCATTAGCTCCCCTTTGATGCTGTTTGGACCTGAGGGGTAAAAATGCACCCGAGCCACCCTGGAACACACAAGGGGATAAGTGCTGTAGGTTGTAACACAGCCAGCTGAACGCAGAGCAAATACCAGCTGAATGTGTAGTAAAACAAGCTTAATCTCAAGGCAATGGCAAAGCACAGAGATAATCTTCTGAAATGCCAGGAAGGAGGCAAAGCCCCGTGGTTGAGGGCTCTGCGGCTCCGCATCCGAGCTGAATCCCAATGAGGGCAGGAGCTGTGTAGAGCGGCTCGGGGTTAAGGCGATTACCCTGCAGAGTATGCTCTTCCTGTTTATGAATGCGTTCACAGCCTGCATGTACCAGTGCTTTTATGATCCATTCCAGCGGTGGGAAGGGAGGGACTGGGCCAAACCAAGAACTTTGACACAGATTAAAGTGAGGTGGTGGCAGCTACAGCCCTTCCTGTTTCCTCCCAGGCTGCTGTGATGTGCATCTGCTTGCC